GTACTTACTTTTTCATTAAAAATGCATTTTTGGCCAGGCGCGGTGGCTCACGCCTATAATCCCAGCACTCTGGGAGGCCAAGGTGGGTGGATCACGAGATCAACAGATCGAGACCATCCTGGTCAACGTGGTGAAACTGTCTCTACTAAAAATACAAAAAATTAGCTGGGCATGGTGGTACGTGCCTGTAGTCCCAGCTACTCAGGAGGCTGAGGCAGGAGAATTGCCTGAACCCAGGAGGCGGAGGTTGTGGTGAGCCGAGATCGCGCCATTGCACTCCAGCCTGGGTAACAAGAGTGAAACTCCGTCTCAAAAAAAAAAAAAAAATGCATTTTTAAAACCTTACTGCTTCTGAGTTTATCTGAGTTTATTACAAAATAGAATTGTTACCAAACAATAGAGAAGAACTTATACCATACAATAAGTGATAAAGCTTTTGCAGCAAGAACATGGGAACTACTCTCTATGTTGAACTTCTTATCCCCTATTTTCTACACATATTTCATATACATGTATCTCATCACTTTCCACATTTCCCTCTGACTTCCCAAATGGGCAGCCTGGTAGCTTTATGAATCTTGCAGAATACAGCATGGGCCATAGACACCTGGCTAGAACACGAAGGGCCAAGCCAGCAGAAGCAGGACAGGTAGCAGAGGAGAAAACACACCAGTATAAAGGAAAATACAAACACCACATTATGCGATGTTTATGGGTATCCTAAATAAAGCATGCCTTCTTACTATAAGGGTGGAAACTTGAGAACAAAGCACAATTGTTGCCAATAATCCTGTTATAAACCTACATTTAAGTGATGTGTGATAGGCTACAGAATGTCTAACTGGAAGGAAAGAAAATATTTCCTTTTATCTATGATTTTGCCATGTTAACTAAATCATAAATGTGTTTCTTTTGCTCAAATCTGTTTACATTATAGCTTCTATTTTATATTGAGAATGTAAATATATCTGCAGATTTAAAAAAGCCTAACTAATGACTAATTGCTATTTCCTAAGATAAGTTGTAACATAATATTCATTTCATTCCAAATTTTCATAATGATTAAAACTTAGGAATAAATACATATGATTTCTTCATGTTAAAAGATCATTCCTTTTTTTTTTTTTGAGACACAATCTTGCCATGTCACATCTAGGCTGAAGTGCACTGGCACAATCTAGGGTCACTGCAACCTTCGCCTCTTAGGTTCGAGCAATTCTTCTACCTCAGCTTCCTAAGTAGCTGGGACTATAAGTATGAGCCACCATGCCTGGCTAATTTTGTGTTTGTCTTTGTATTTTTAGTAGAGACGAAGTTTCACCATGTTGACCAGGCTGGTCTTGACTCCTGAGCTTAAGTGATCTGCCTGCCTCAGCCTTCCAAAGTGCTGGGATTAGAAGCGTGAGCCACCGTGCCTGGCCAAGATCATTTTTTAAATATTAGTTGAGGGTTATAAAACAAAAGGTTATTCAAAAGGTAGGAAAAAGTAAAGTCATTAAAGCACATAGAGGCTGAAGATTGTGATTTTGCAGAAATGTAAGTCATAATGGGAGTGAATATTACTAACTTCCTAGATATACCAACATACCAATGCCTACAGATGTCTTACTAATTCATACTGTTAGACACTGTATTCTGTTTGTTTATGTAATAAATCCTCACTACAGCCTTATGGAATGGTATTATAATCTTCATAATACAGATGAGAAAATAAAGAGAGGTCCAGTTTTTCTGCTGAAGGCCATACAGTGAGGAAACGATGGTGGAGCTAGGATTTATACTTGGTCTGACTCTAAAGTCAGTAAGTGTTCTTAATTCCTACAGTAAAAAGGCATGATATTCTCAAATCTGTCAATATTAAACAAGGGAGTCATAGATCTCAACACTCCAACTTGTATTTATAATTAGAGCTCTTAGAAACCAAATTAATGAAGAAAATAAATGCTTTTATCTAGCCTGAATGTCCACCTCTAAAGTAGGTGCAATGAAGGCTAATTATTAAAATTGGCCCTTGTATTAGCAAGACATATAGTTTCTGCTAGACTGAAACAATATTAAGAGGTTGTGATGAAATAATATAAAACAGATGTTTTATTCTTTCCTCCAGAAAGTTATCCTAAAAACAATTCACTAAAGAATTATCTAAAAATGACATAATATGAAAAACAGTTTATCTCAGTAGTAAAGAAAGGTAAATTCAAGCATACCTATCAAATGTGTAGAGTTTAAAAAACTGTAACAACAATTATAATCTCCAGTATCAACAGAGGTTTTGGAAAGAGTGCACTGATGTCGACAGCCGATTTGGGGTGACCTGTTTTCATGTCTGTTCTCCCCGCTCTGCCTTCCCCTGCTCCTAGGAGTGCGTGCCCAACCACTCGTGCACTGGATCCCATCCTTTCTCAGGGGCCTGAATTTAGCAGATGAGCGAGTCTCCTCTCTCTTCCATCATGCCAATTCCTCCTTTTCATTTGATTTTTCTCTTTAGCAAGATGATTCTACATACAAAAAAAATTCTAATTTCTATCTTCAAAAAAAATCCCTGATTGATCCCCAGTATCCCTTCTTTCAGTTACTGCTCCATTTCTATGCTCTCCTTATCAGCCAAACTGCTAAAGAGAATGCTCTAAACCAGTTGTCTTCAAGTTAGCTCCTCCCATTCTCTCAAGAGCCCCTCCAGGGAAACTGTCCTTGACTTCTGCAGTCACCAGGCTTCTTTGTACTTCACCAATGAGAAGCAGCTGACACAGTTGATCTTTCTTTCTTCTCTGGATTCTTACATTCTTACATCACCAGCTGTTCCTCTGCCAGATGCTCACCTTCCAGAAGTCCAGTTATCTGAGTACTCCAAGGCTCAGTCCCCTTTCCCTTCTCTACTTAACACTCACTCTCTGGGAGATTTCATGAAACTAAATGCTCTCTATACTGGTGATGCTCAACCTCTCCCCTAAACTACAGATTTGTATACTGATGTACTAACTTGACAACTTCACTTAGGGTCTAATAATAGTGTGAAATTTAACAGGTCTCAACTTGAACTAGATCCCCCATCTGTCTTCCCCATCTCAGTAATGGTAACTCCATCCTCTAACTGTTCAAGCCAGAAGCTTAGAATGTTCTCTCTCTCACACTCCACATCCAATCCAACAACAAATCCTGTTGGCTCTAACTGCCAGATGTATATCTTGACCTTCTCTCAACACTTCCTTAAATACCACCTTGGCCAGGCCACTGTCATTTCTTACCTGGATAATAACTAGAGTTGCAACAGTCTCCTAACTAGTCCCTCTGTTTCCATTCTTCCCTCACTACAGACTAAGAGGGTTCCTTTCAAAAATAACTGATTTATTCAGTTACCTGGTACCACAGAGAACCTTTAAAAAACAGGCACACACAGACAGTGGATCACTTTTGACTTTTAAAATGAAATCTTACAGAAAATGCTCCCTAAAGTAAAAATACATAAAAGTGGAGCTGGGAGTGCAACAGAAGTCCAATGGCCAACTCGGTACTCCCTCCCTCATGCCTACGGGGTGATTTGGAGAATGTAAAGGGATTGAAAACCTACTGCTCTAGAGCAACTTATGAAGCAATTTCAGTTTTCTTAAAGGTTTCAAAGAAATAGCATTCTTTAGGGATCAAAAAAGCTTACAGTCTAGTCACACCTCAGTTTGTTCTAGCAACTTGTGTCTGCTGCACAGAGTCCTATTAAAAACCTTGGCAGAAAGGCTTAAAAATAAAAGTCACTGGCTGCAAACAACTATGAGATCTCAATCAACAACACAATTTCTTCTTTGGGGATGCTGTACTATGCTTTTATGCAAGTTATCCTAGTATTTTCTTTTGCTGATACTCATTCTTACTACTTTTCTACTATGACAAAATTTTTTAAACAACATTTTGTTCCTCCTGATTGTAGGTTTGATACTAGGCCTATCTACTGCCTATCACTGTTAACAGAATGAAATGTTCTTAATTCCTGGGAATTAAATGCACTCATTTTTTAAGGGAGAGAAGTATGCTTGGGGAATAGTAAACAAAACAAAAACAAGGAATAGTTTTAAAAAATAGTCTAAATACCATGGATCTCAGGAAAATATTATTTTGATTGGACTCAGTAGACTTGATTCCTAGGGTAATGCTTTCCCTCTACCTCATGGGGTGACCAACTGTCCTAGTTTACTCCAGACTTTGCTGATTTTAGCATTGAAAGTCCTGGTTTAGCAAATTGGGATGGGTGATTAGCTTACTCCAGTATATCTCAGGGATACTGTCTAATGTGAGGCAAGAAGGTAAGATAATTCAGAACATTTCACATAATTTATTCAAAACAAATTCAAAGAGTTATTATTACACCGCTTTCTTTATTTTATGGCTATGTTAGTTAATCACTGGATCTGATATAAGAGATGGTTCAGATGCCACAAGTCCTTTTTATTTAAACAAACACATTTTAAGAAGCCATGCTTTACATGGTTATGAAAACTACAGAATTGTCACTTCCCAATTATGAGTGCTTTGAAAATAAAAAGGTTACACTATTAGAAGTATACTCAGTATTGGCCAGGCGCGGTGGCTCACGCCTGTAATCCCAGCACTTTGGGAGGCCGAGGCGGGTGGATCACGAAGTCAAGAGATCGAGACCATCCTGGTCAACATGGTGAAACCCTGTCTCTACTAAAAATACTAAAAATTAGCTGGGCATGGTGGCACGTGCCTGTAATCCCAGCTACTCAGGAGGCTGAGGCAGGAGAATTGCCTGAACCCGGGAGGCAGAGGTTGCGGTGAGCTGAGATTGCGCCATTGCACTCCAGCCTGGGTAACAAGAGCGAAACTCCGTCTCAAAAAAAAAAACAAACAAGAAGTATACTCAGTATTAGTCCCACAGATATATTACAGGGTAAAACCAACCTTTATAGTGAGTCCTGTTTTATATTATGATTCTAAATATATTTACATATGTTCACTTTTTCAATTGTTTTGCATTTTTAATATCTTACCTACAACAGAGACTTTAAGTAATTCGATTTTATCCTCGAGGCCTGCAGCTTTCAGATTGTCCCAAGTACCTAGTAACTGTGAGTCACTGACATCAGCACCTACATAATACACATCCTATGGACAAAGAAATAGTATTTTAAGCATAAATAAAATTATTGCATATTTTATGTAGTTAAGATAATCTATCTGCATTTTCTCAAATGACAGAAGTGAAATTAGTAGATTTTAAATTCAGGTTGAAACACATTTAGGGTATTCTTTTAAAATGGTAATAGCAAAAAATGTAAAGTTTTTGTTAAAATTTTAAAAATCTGTTAATATTTTACAATGACAAATGTTTAAAGAATTTGAGGATTAGTATAATCTAGGTCATGACTAATGATTAGAATTCTGTCATATTTTCCTAAATTTATCATAGTATTTAAAGAAATAACATAGCAATTTAGTTAATCCTTCATAATCTATTTTGAGTACAATGACTAATAACTTATATAATTAAAATAATAATCCCCAAATAGACACTCTACTTTGTAAATAATTGATGACTATACTATATATATTGATTAAAGTAGATAAATTGCTTGCTTTACCAAACTTAGAACTTACTGGCCATTCTTTAGCAGCTTCCAAAAGTATTGTTCCAAGTCCACACATTGGATCTAAAACAAATGCACCAGCCTGTAGACAGAAATATGAATTTGGTATTATTAAGACTACCATAGTAGGTATTACAAAAGAAACCTGGCCAGGCATGGAGGCTCATGCCTGTAATCCCAACACTTTGGGAGGCCGAGGCAGGTGGATCCCAAGGTCAGGAGTTTGAGACCAGCCTGACCAACATGGTGAAACCTCGTCTCTACTAAAAATACAAAAATTAGCCAGGCATGGTGGTGCATGCCTACAGTCCCAGGTCGGGAGACTGAGGCAGAAGAATTGCTTGAACCTGGGAGGCGGAGGTTGCAGTGAGCCGAGATCACGCCACTGCACTCTAGCCTGGGGGACAGAGCGAGACTCTGTCTCAAAAAAAAAAAAAAAGAAAGAAAAAGAAAACTAAAACTTGAGGAATCAATATTTCAAGAGTAAAGATTACTTTTTACACTTTATTAAGAATTTCAGGTAGTTCAAGCCCTAATGCAGGAGTGTGTTCATCAGGTTTATAAATTAGGAAGGCAGCCATTATGGCCAAAGCACAGCGAGTAAGAAGGAAAAGGTAGTGAGAGCCCCAGAGAGGGAGCCAGGGGATTCTGTCAAGAGGGCCGGGTTATGCTGTGTGTTGTAACAACCCCCAAATTCTAGAGGTTTAAAACAAGAAGCTCACACTGCATGCCCACATCAGGGTACCTGGGCCTGTGCTCCTCACTTTGGAACCCAAACTGATGAAGCAATCATCATCTTGAGTGCTGCCATCACCCTGGCAGAGGCAAAGAAAGCATGACAAATTGTCCGCTGGCTCAGAAAGGTGCCACCTGGAGGTGATGCACATCACTTCCACCAGCATTTAACTGACTAAAACATGTTAGTCACATGGCAACACAGTGTCAAGGGGCCGGGAAAGTATAATCCTATATGTACCTGGGATGAAAATAGGAAATTTGGAGAAAAAACTCCCACTGTGAAAATCACAGCATGCCAGATCTCATAGCTGGTGTGAGGATTCTGGTTCTATTCTGAAGGATGGGAAGTACTGGAGGGTTTGAGGACAGGAGTCCCATGACATTACATTTTAAAGGGATCATTTCGGCTGTTCTGTGGAGGTCAGATCATAGAAGGATAAGAGTGCTGGACAGTCCAGTCAAGAGATGATGGTGGCTTAAGAGTGTTGTGGATGTGGTGAGAAATGGTGGGATTCTGGATATATTTTAAAAGGTGAAGCCAAAAATGGAAGGGATGTGGAATGTTAATGAAAGACAACAGTCTGGAATGTCTAAAAATTTTGACCTCAGCAACTGGAAGAATGGAGTTGCCTGTTTCTGAGGTGGGAAGAGCTGGGGAGGAGACGCTTTGGGGGAGACAAGAGTATAGTTCTGGCCTTGTTAATTTTGAGACACCCTGTAGACTTCCAAGTGTGAATGTCACGTGAGTCACTGCACATATGAGTCCACAGTTTAGGGCGAGGTTCAGGCTAGATAGGAATTTGGGAATAGTCAGTGTCAGTCAGCTTATACATGATATTTAAAGCATCAGAACTGGATGTGATCATTTACAAAGCAAGAGAAGTTAAAAAACAGAAGCCTATGAATTGGCCCCTGGAGATCTCTCAGGTGCAGATGTTTGGAAGAGGAAGATTAGCCACACACATTGAGAAGCAGCTCACTCTAATATAGGAGAAGAACCTAGAGTAGTGTGTCAGAAACAAAGTGAAGAAACTGGTTCAAGAAGGAGAGTGATCACAGTGTCAGGGTGACAGGAGGGTAAGTGAGATGAGCAGTTTCAGTGGAGTGTTGGTGATGAAAGCACCGTGGAGGCTGCTACAGGAGGGAATGGGAAGAAAGGAGGTAGAGGCAGCCAATGGAGATAATTATTTTACAGACTCTCTCTGTGAAAGGAAGCAGAGAAAAAGGGGTGGTGGCTGAAGGGACATACGGGTTCAGGGGAGAGTTTTTTTTTTTTTAAGTTGAAAGACATTTCAGCAGGTGTACATGCTGATATGGATGATCCAGTAGGAGGAAAAATCCCTAAGTTTACAGGAGGGAATGGAATCTGGTACACAAGTATTAGAGTGGAACAGGACAGTTCTGATATTGTAACGACAATGAGACAGCGTATGTATGAGGCGGAGATTCGGATATGTTTGTAGACTTGGTGAGGAGAACATGCAGAAGTTCTCTTCAGATTCTATTAAAGTCAAGAAGGAAGAGTTAAAAATATGGGCAAGGAAATGACTATAATGATAAAAAAATTTTTTTTTGAGACAGAGTCTCACTCTGTCACCCAGGCTGGAGTGCAATGGCACGATCTCAGCTCACTGCAACCTCAGCCTCCTGTGTTCAAGCAATTCTCCTGTCTCAGCCTCCTGAGTAGCTGGAATTACAGACGCGCATCATCCTGCCTGGCTAATTTTTGTATTTTGGTAGAGAAGAGGTTTCGCCATGTTGGTCAGGTCGGTCTTGAACTCCTGACCTTGTAATCCGCCCACCTCAGTCTCCCAAAGTGTTAGGAACACAGGTGTGAGCCATTGTGCCCAGCTAATAGAACTTTTTAAAATCCAAGCAGTGAAGAACGGATGAACACAGGTGGTGTAAGCAACAGGAGTCAGGTCAAATGACTGGAGGTCCCTGTGGGGTGTTCGGGTTGCAAAAAAGATTTGTGTTCGGGTTGCAAAGAAAGTGAATAGGAAAGAGAAGGTGGTTAAGAACAAGATTCCTGAAACTGAGATTTCTGGAAGGGATACCCTTCTGGGTATGACAAGGTCTAGGATGTGACTATATCAGATGAATAGGGAAGCCAAGAAACAAAGAGGCAGGTTACTTAGTGGTTACAGAGACCAAAGAATCATGACAGGATAATGGCCTGTACTCTTACAGAATGAGAGAGATTCGATGGGGGTGATCTGATGGCATGTGCTTCAAAGGCATTGTCAGGTTCTGGGCAGAAGGAAGAAAACAATTGTCTAGAAGGGGCAAGGAGGAGCAGGCAGGCACGTACCCTGCTGTCAGGCCCAGTGGTACTCGAGATAGGGGAGAAAAAAATCCACTACTTGATATGTCCACAGAGGAAGCAGAGTCCTCTGTGAACAGTCAGGTTTCAGCCAGAGCCACATGGTACCTAATGGAAAGAAATAAAATGCTCTTCAGGAGATAGAAACCTTTCCCTGGTACTAAATTTTAAAGAGAATATCATATGAATCCCCCATGAAGAGGCAGTTAGGAGCAGAAGGACTAATTTAGTTTAAAATTGTTAATAGTATGATAACTCATTTTTATTAGGATCTTAAATGTGCCGTACACTGTGCTCCTTCTCTTCCATGGTCTGTGTTCAATGACATAATCTGACCTCAAGTATCTTTTAGTGGCTTTATTTTACCTTAGAACCTTTTCTGGCCATGATACCTGTAGACACAGGCTGAGGTAGAGAAGGATTTCTGCATACTTATAACAACAATTAAAATTTATAGAACTTGATTTCCCTTGTTATGATACAGGAAGGAGAAGGGTTTATAGTAAAACATGGGTATAGTAAATACCCAACATCCCGTTTTTAAATTTCATTTTTAGTAGCACTGGCCTACCCAAGGCTGAGCTGTCTGTGTCTGCTCTGGGTACTAAGCTCCAAAGAGGGAAAGGGATCAGGTTGGATACTGGGGTCACTTAGACTGTGGGTCACCACCACATGCCCTCCAAAAGAAACTCTACTGTACCACTTCCCAGGTTCCTTAACAGACCTCCTTGGCCAGTGGTCACATTTAGAGAGACATTTCTTACTTTGTGCAGTCCCAGGGCAAATTCACAGTAAGAAAACATTTTATTGAGCATTATCTTTGGATATTTTTGATCATTTACCTTTGACTTTTGTGAAAAACATGTTTATATCAAAACAAAGGTAACATTTCAAATGTCTAGGTGATTATGTAAGTTTATATTTAAATACAAATGCTGGTGAAACCACTGGCAGTTGGGGAAAAAAATTAACCACACCTCTTTCTTTCTACTGAAAAAATCTGAACTAAAGATTTAAATCCAACAAAAAAAGAAAATCTTGGGTTCTTGGTACCTGGTAATCTGAAAGACGCTCTGTCCTTCACTCTCAACCCTAAGCTATTTGCTTCTGCTGAGCCAAGTGATGCTCAGACCTGGAGGCAACTGGCACTAAGAGAAGCCCTAGGCTCCGTCACGGTCCCCCAAAAAGGAACTTGTATGGGGTCTCCCAGTTGTGGGTTCAGTAGTGATTAGAGAACAGCAGTGGAATCTAGAGGGGAGAATTGGTGGAACGAGGGAAGAGCTTAATCTTCAGAGATCTATGGACCCAAAGAGAGGTCCGTGAATAGAGATGTTTCCTCTAGGTATATCAGCAGGACTGACAGATTCTCCTTACACTGTGGAGGCTGAGGTGCCAGAGATCTATTTGCCTTTCACCATTTATAGGATTCTGGCCATTTAAAACACCTAACAGTCACATGTTAGCCCTGGTCAGCTACAACAAAACACATAAACAAACAAAAACCAATGGCACATCTAAAAAAAAAAAGGAGGTCCCTCAGTAGTTTTAGAGTAAATAGGCAGAATAATCAGAACACACCTAGTGAAATAGAACTACTAATTACTGGAGGACACAGATCAATATTTGAATAAAAAAAGAACTTTCTGAGATATTCAAATGTGACACACATACCTTTCTGAAGCTAAAAAACCATGATTTTAAGCTAAAAATATCACTAAATTAAAATAGAACATGTCTCTGTGACTCTTGTTGTAATTAGGAAGATAACGTTCGAGAATAACTCAAAATGCAGGGCCAAAATACAAAGTGGTGGAAATCATGTCAAACGGATAGGAGACTTGGAGGATAGAGTCAGGAAGCTTAACACGTTTATAACAGGAATTTCAGAAGTAGGAAAAAGAGGGTAGGTTAAAGTTAAATTCTCTAAATAGTTGAAGCAATAATTAAATAATGGAAGAAAGAATGCTTAGGCTGAAGAAGTCTAAATAATAATTTTTATAATCATATATTCCAAATAGTAATTACAGTTATTAACTATAATTTTGGTAATAATAATCATTATAATTATTTTACCAAAATGGCAGCTAATACTTAGATACTATCTGTATGTTAGGCACTGTGCTAATCATTTTATTAATGCTAATTCATTTAATCTTGTCATGATCCCATGAGATATTACTACTCTTTTTATCTTGCAAATGAGAAACCGAGGCACAAAGCTGTTAAGTATCCTGCCCAAAGTTTCCCATCCAGTAAGTAGTGGCCAGAATCGGAACCCAGGAAGTAACTCACCAGGGTCTGGGCTAAATAGAAAATACTCATACAGAAGCATATTCTGGTAACATTCCTGAGCTTTAAGATTAAAGAGAAACATCTTACAAGTTTCCAAAAAGAAGAAATCAAGTAGTTATGAAGGAAAAGAAAAATCCCACTGGCATAGTCTGCTAATCTGTGTCATCAGAAGTTAAATGACAATGAAATAGCATCTATAGATGTCTGAGAGAAAAGACCTGCAATTCAGGAATCCTACACCCAGCCAAGCCAGATATACCCAGGATAACAGGAAGAAATTTGAAGATACAAAGCAATTCAGACAGTGTATCATTTAAACATCACATTTGAGGAAAATGCCTAAGACAAGACTTTACCCAAGCAACAAGTAAACCAGAGCAGAGACCTCAAACAGGGAAAGATAAAGAGAAGAACAGACATGGAAAAGAGCAACACGCATTGCAATACGTCTATGTGTGTGTATACAAAAACGTATGTGTGTTGCACGCAATTCTATCTAATGATTAAGAATAGGCTGTGTAATGTTAAGTGCTAACAACTTTCAAAACACAAGAACATGCTCAAGGGAAGTTCTGGTACATCATAAATAATTTAGCTTATCTAGTAGTTGGGGCTTGGGAGGGAAAGAGGTAAAAATGTTCAAAGGGATCACTGTAGGGATAAGAGGAAAAAAGTACTCTAAAGGTCTCATCTTACGACAGGGAAGAAGGGGAATTTGGGGAAAGTTAGAGTGCCTTGGTAAAAACAGTGTGTCTTGGCCGGGCGCGGTGGCTCAAGCCTGTAATCCCAGCACTTTGGGAGGCCGAGGCGGGTGGATCACGAGGTCGAGAGATCGAGACCATCCTGGTCAACGTGGTGAAACCCCGTCTCTACTAAAAGTGCAAAAAATTAGCTGGGCATGGTGGCACGTGCCTGTAATCCCAGCTACTCAGGAGGCTGAGGCAGGAGAATTGCCTGAACCCAGGAGGCGGAGGTTGCGGTGAGCCGAGATCGTGCCATTGCACTCCAGCCTGGGTAACAAGAGTGAAACTCCGTCTCAAAAAAAAAAAAAAAAAAAAAAAAAAAAAAAACCAAAAAAAAAAAAACAGTGTGTCTTGGCAGAGGGAATAGTTGATTTTCTGTTTTAAATTAAGAGTAGAGTTATATATGTTTAGTTAAGGGAGCTGCAATGAAGGATTTTAATGGAATAGAACAATGAAGCAAAATCTCTAACCTCAGGAAGAACAATGAAATGATTAGCAAGTAACTAGATGCCACTAGTGAAAATAAGAGAAGTAAACAAACTGTGAGAAGTTACGGACAGAGTAAAAGTAGGAAGAATATATTCAAGCCTATCTGTCATAATGTTTACTGAATTCTCTCACTGAGAGACCATCAGAGGCGTGTGAAAATAGCTGGGTGTTTGCAAGAAAATATTTAAAGTTGAAAAAAAAGCAATGGCAAAGAAATATTAGGCTGATGCAAACAAAAAGGAGTGAAAATATTAGTAAGACAGTGAGACTTAAATTTAAACTTAAGATAAAGAGGATTTAAGTAACAAAAAGGCACAATTCACAATGATGTGTTGACAGTCATGAAAATGTATATACCAAGCCACATGGCAGCTGAATAATTCAACTCATAAAAATGCAAAAATTTTAAGCAACAAATACAATAATGTAATGGGATTTCAAAAAATTCTTTCATAATGGAGCAAAGAAACACACAGTAAGTAAAAATAATGGAGAACATTTCTTCACTAGAAGATAAAATCATCCTCTGTCCATAGAACACTTAGAAAAATTGACCAAGATCTTGGTCACACAGAAAAACTTAAAATTTAAGAATCAGACGCTTTATAGGCCACATTTCCTAACTGTGACACAAAACATTAGAAATAATAAAATGTAACTAACTTTTGACCCAGCTTTTTCAGAGCCAAAATACTCTCAGAAGTTCAACAGTATGTAAAAGCATTACTGCAGCAGTTTGTAGGTATAATGGCAAAAGAAAAGAAAGGAAATGAAAGAATAAGTGTTAAGAAAAAGCAAGTAACACAAATGTCCATCAATAAGAGACTGTGTAAGTTACTTATAAAAAGAACCTTGCTAATTACAGAAATAAAAACATTTTTCTTACCTTAATGTCAGCGAGAGATGCCATTGCCCACGCTATGGTAGATCGCAGTCCAGCTGTCTTGATGTAAGCTCTGCTGGCTAGAGGAACCCTACAAAGAAAAGCAACTGATTATAGATTATTACATGTTAAACAACAAGATATAAAAATGGTTTACCTGTCCAAATTTGAGAATCATTTAAACATACTCAGCCAACATACATGAGAGTATTCCCTAAGTTAGAGAATGTTTCAATCTTTCTACAAAAATACCTTCTCTAATGGGCACCTTCTCTATCCAGCCAGGGTGGAATTTCAGAAAGGTAAATTTTTAAACAACTGAAATTTAAACTCTCACATATTTAATGTCTAAAATGTAATTATACATGTTTCTTATACTTCCCTGTCTTCTCATACAGAGTAGACCTTTGTTTTGCTGTCTGAAGTCATGAAGGAGAATGTACTATTTTGTGATATGAATGTAGCATGGGAAGTAGAACTAAATGGATGCTAACCCTCAAAATCTGTCTTCTATAAAAAGTCCCTTTTGAAGGTTTGCTTTTTGGTTATTTGCATCTTTCCCAAAAGATGAAATGAAGCATGACATTGCATTGTCTAAAATAATTTACTGAATGATGGGCTAAAGCAGACATCTCCAAATGAGTTCACTGGTCTCCAACACGCATCACTTCACACTTTATCCTCCACCTCATCAATGCCACTATCACATCAATATTTCCAGATTTGATAGACAATTTCAAAATGTCATGTATTATTTCTATCCTTCCAATGCAATGACCAAGCTGAATCTCCTTGGAAATTTCAACTTTCCAAGCTTTTCTAGCCCACTTTTACAATTTGTTGGTAAGATGTGAAGATGTGATGTCAAGAATTTGTGCTGGTTTGTTTTGGGGCAGGCTTGTTCCAGACCCACCAAGAGGGGTCTTCTACGAACATTACATAAAGTCACAATGTTCTTCAAACCCTCCTTAAAGACGTTTAACAGAATTCTAGGTATGTTAATATTAAACACTTATTTCTTTCATCGTTTTGTTTCTCATCTTTTTTTGACTTTAAGTTATCCTGTTTTTGTATTTATTGCAAGCCTCTTAAAATCTTAGAACTAAATGATATCTTCCTTTAAGATAAACAGTGTAGTTGTATACGTACTTACTATTATAATGAGGAAGTTCTACTTGGCAAACTCATGGGAGTTTGGCTTTTTAATAAGGTTTTTTCAAGAAATAACAATTCACATCGTAAATAGTACTGTATACATACATTTGGAATCAGGGATGTCAACTGGCAGGTGGAAAGACTATAAAATATTTTGGTCAATAAATTTTGCTTCTACAGGGTAAGCTTAGCAATTATTTTGCTATAAAACACATTAGTTTGCATTCTAGATACCAAAAAGGGAGATGCAGTATGGAAAACCAGCTTTGTCCATATAAATGAAAAAATGCTCTTCTAAGCAGCAGGAATTTATATGGAACCTTTCAAAGTTTTGACAACTATGTATATATTTTTGCCAATAGAATTTTTTATGGGACATAATTCTCTAATATTTGACAAAAGTGAATCTTCATATTTTGCTTAAACCTGGGCACACTGATCTCATTACTTCAACAAAAGGGCCCCATTATATCAGTATAATAAACTTATTAAGAAGGCATGTTCAGAAATAAACTCCTTGAAAATAAAAATAATGCTCTACTTTCACTGAATCTAGCTAATGTATGCGGTTCAAAAATAGATGTGGTTTTTGATCATCTTCTCCACTTACATGCATTTCTTTTTCATTCTCTTATATACCTTGTATCACCAAGACAAAGACATCCTAATCTATACCTCTAGTCTAGACTCATTACCTGAACCCCAGATCTTTATCTTTAAATATGTGCTTGAATATTTTATGTGAAAGGTAAGTAATGCAAACTCAACAGGTACAAACTGAATACACTCTCCAGGATTTCATACATTGATACATTGCTACATTTTTTTGTGTCACTTAGTATCCGTATATTGGTTACCATAATCTACATCTTCAGTCTAGACTTGTCACCTGAACTCTAGATCTGTAACTTCAAATATCTACTTGAATATCTTCTAATATCTACATTTTCACTGAATACACTGTTTTCTTTCCCTACATTTTATATCTCAGTGACTAATACCAGTATTTACTAATTGTTCAAATCAGAAATCTGAAATTATTCTAGACTCCTTAACTATTTTTTTTTTTAATTCAGGGCCATTGTCTTAACTCCAAGAGTTTAAATCTTCTCTCTTTTTATTTCTCTTTCATTAAAAAATATAATTTTCTTGGTAATTTTTTTTAAATCACAAATCTGATCACATCACTCTTCTGCTTCAAATTCTTATTGCTTCTAAGATAAAATCCAAGCTGTTTAACATACTTACAAGGCATTTCATGGCTTACTTCTAATTTTCTACCACTTACCCTATGCATTTCTCTGTCCCATCTACACTGAAACTACCTGCCATCCTCCATGTAAATCAAGCTTCCTTGTACCTGTGCCTTTGCACAGAGATTCCTTGTCTGTAACATCCTTTCCTTCTCTTGTCCGTGTGACATATCCTTTCTTATTGCTGTCAAGTTTCCTCTTAGGTACACTCCTTTTTGCTCACAGATCCTCAATTAGTTAGGTTCTCTTTCCGAACTCTAGTCAAGTATTTATCACATACCTGCGCTACCATGGAATTGAATTCCTTGAAATTAACACTCATCTTATTCGTCTTTGAACTTTGGGTGTCTAGCACAATGCTTGGCATACAGTAAGTGTACAATTGATGCTTTGACTAAAATTAATTGAATTAATCTTACTCCAGTAAATGCTTCTCCCCTCCTCGCAATTGCTGAACTGTTTCAAAAATAAAACAGCTGAAATTTATTCAACATTTACTGTATCCTAGAAATAGTAGCAAAGATTTTCGCACAGGTTATCTTATTTAATCCCACGGACAAAGCTATAAAGTAGGTAGTATTATATTCCTGATTTTATAGCAGAGAAATATGATAATTTGCCCAAACTTGCAGAGTTACAATCATTTGTGGAGAAGATAGAATTTAAGTCCATAGTTCTTATCTGCTATGCCATACTGTACTAGGTGATGTGTACAGTGTGGCACCAGCTATATGCAGTTAATGCTTCATGGGGCTATTGATATCCAAATCGTTTTTTTTTTCCTTTAAAGAAAGGACAGCTCAAATACGAACAATGTCTTTTGGAACTTAGAGACAAATTTTTATGTGATTCTCTACCTTCATGGCTGCTCTCTACTTTGTTTCATCATTTCTTACTTTCTTCTGTTGTTAGGGTCACCAGGTTGCGGTTTCTGACAGCCACTGCCACTTCTCTTGTCCAATGCTATCTGTTGTGCAAATTTTCTGTCTCCCTTTTCATGTCCCAGCAAATTGTTCGTTTAGCCAACGCTCATCCCTGAGGTGGCTTCCTTCCTACACTGAGGTAGTCAAGCTGACTAAACTCAGAGCATCTACTATACCTCATTTCCAATCAATGCTCAGATTGTATCTTAAGATATGTATCTTAATTAAGATACATACAAAATTAAGATATCTTAATTTTCAGATACATATCTTTTATTTGTAAACGTTAAGGTACATTATCACTTATTATTTGAAATGCCATAGCATAACATCTTGAATGTTTCTAGCAAGCATTAAACTAATTTTAAATCATCAAATACCTTTTAAAAATGTTAATATAAGGTTATTATTAGTTAAATCAAGAGCACAAAATTTAGCATTTTTACATAGAGTTAAAAATTTAAAAATGAGTTATTTTATTCGGTTAAGAATCTAAATACATTAATACCACACTCAGTACTTGTAGGGGTGAGATGCTCTTCCTAAGTAAATTTTTTAGATACTTAGGCTCATTTTTGGGGGGCTCAAAGTATAAAAAAATTACTCTATAAATTTAAAAATACATGTATTTTCTATTTTGCTTGTTTTGCTAGTGCTTCCTACTTTTGTCTTGGTGACCACCAAAAATTATTATAATTGCTGAAAAATGTCCATCTTTTAGTTTTCTCCACCCTTTCTGTCTGTAAAATTGTCATAGAATTTAAAAAACCCAGATAGGCAAAAATGTTCAAATTAAAGCCACTGGAGTAGGGCATCCTAAAAACTTTTTAGGTATAGATACAGGGCTGTGAAAATCATTTAACAATAGAACTAGATATAATTTTCAGTATTAATCATGTAATCAGTAGATTACTATGATCGAATATTTCACAGCTCTAACTGGTGGTCAGTTCAGATTTATCCACTAAGTTCCAGGAAAATACTTTATTGTCTTAAGCAAAGAATTAAAATGCTTTGTCTTTAACCATCTCTGTTATATCAATGCTTCATTCATGCTGTAAATAAAAAATGTAAATAATTTAACAATCTGTCCTATGTGACAAACCTGAAGCTTAGAATATCTACCTGAACACAGGAATCCCCACCACAGAATAAATGTCATTTAGATGTATAAAGATCTGAAAGAACAAACACAGAAGTTAGAACGGAACAAGAAACGTTATTACCAAAGTAATGACAATTTGAAATTTCCATTTTAAATTTATATGACCTATGTTTTAAAAAGAAACTCCAAGGCCGCCTTCATCATATTTAGAAAAATGTTCTATAATCTTTTTTTCTTAAGCAGAAGTAAACTAAATCTTAAGTACATTTTATAGAAAAATTCTGAGGTTAATTTGTTATATAGGAGAATCATGTTATAAATAACTCAGAATCAATTTTTCATACTGGAGATTCTTGGAATTATAACCGGACCAGACTTTTAAGTATTCTGTGTTGGATTTCCTAAATCCACCCTAATTCTAACCTCAAACAGGATGTGAGGCCACACAGGGCTATCAGAGGCTGCAAATACTTTCAAGGTAACAGAAAACTTTGTTTAGGCCAAATGTATGGCAGTAAGGGTGTCTTTTTTCTACAGGTAAGTTTCTGTCTCTATTTACTTTCTTCTACTAGGCCATGAAGAATATTTAAATGCCCCAAGTTATAATTAGTAGCCCACACAAATTTTAAAAGCTAGAATATTTTACACTTCCGTAGTCTGATAAAGTTTACCGAATATTTTAACTGCTGTTTTGGACCTCAAGAACATTTGGTTCCTGATACTCTTACCCCAAGCAAGATAACTTTAAATATTAGCATCTTAATCAGAATTATCTCAATATTGATCAATTTCTTCAAGAAAAGACTTAATTGGAGTGATACCATTTGGTCAATTTAATTACTTGATTAACTGATACATCACAGCTAAACTTCCCAATTTTATATATTATGCATTTTAGCAAAATTATTTATTAGAATTCTATTGGCAATTTATTCTAAAGATATGACATATTTACATATCAAATGTTATTAAGAATAGCTTCTCCCACTAAAAAATGTTTTCCTGTCAATTTTACAGAAGAAAATTTGTTGAGATTTGATTCTTCTGTCAATTTTTTAGTCACAAATTTTACTGCATGTGATTTGTGTTGCTAATCTTGTTTTGTGTTATTTCTATCCATAAAAGCTATTATTAATTGCATTAAATGGCTGATAGGAATTGAATTTGCTGTATTTATTTATGAGATAATCTATGAGAAAAATAATTGAAACAACGAGATTGACTTGGGGAAATGGGGAAGAGAAAGCCAGAAAGGAGATGATTAAGAATTGGAAAGGGGCAGATAAGAGAAAGATACTTGCATGTCAAAACATTCTTGGGGTTAAAATATTTAGTATGACAAACAATAAAAAATAAATAACTGGTATTTTTTTTTAAGTGAAAAATGTCAGACAAAAGCAAATTTAACAATAAAACAACACAGAATGTTCTAATTTATTTGGCCAGTTACTACTCCATTTAAACCTACATAACAAGTAATAAATAAATTTATGAATGTATGAATCGTGAAAATGATTGCTTATATGTCAACTTTTTAAGATAGCTTTCAAAAAATAGCAAAGAATATTTTTATTTCCCCATACAAATACTTGTTTGTTCCAATTAAAAATAGTGTAACCTTATTACATTAATTTTGGAAAATAAAAAGAAAAACATAATCCCATACCCCTAACAAAGCTACTATTAACATAGTATTGAATTTTGTGCAGAACTTTTGTTAGTTATACACTTATTTAAGATTAGCTAAAATTTTTAAAATCGTAGATTGTGTATATTACAGAGACTATAGAGAACATTGCTGTCACCTCATAATAAATGCTTTTTTCTTCAACTGTGACCAGACAACTCCATTCCAAAAAAAATCTTATTTTTGGAGTTTGGATATGACATTTTCACAGTGAAAACTACCAGCAAAACTATCTGTACTATTCTACTGTTTAAAAAAATGGACTGCTGGATCCCTGTAGATATACTTTTTACAACTGTAAAATAAAATGGAAAAGTAGGATAAGAATACAGGGCACTGTCCTTAAAGAATTAGGTTACATGTATATAAAACAAAACAAATACTCATTACCTCTAATTTTGGATTCCTCAAGTCTGCTTTCCATCCAAAGTGTTTCATAAGAGCAATTCCAATTACTTTTCCTACCTCCTGGAAAAGTAGCAAGTTAAAGAAAAGAATACTAAAAATTTTTCATTAAGTGTAAACGTAAGCAAAACTAACTGAGTAGCCTACAGGAAAATCAAGTCAGACTATCTGATGGTAATTTAGAGTTCTGATATTAAAATCGTACGCTAAAGTATTTTCTATTTAAGGCAGAAGGGCTGCATTTTACCTGCCCTAGCCCCCAGTATACTCCACGGCATTAACATCTACTCATGCATAATCTCTATTCCTGTAATCTTAGGAATATGAAAGAACTTGATTATGATATGATAAATGTGGTCATTCTGGGTTTCAGGAAACAGATGCAAGCTGAAAGATTAACTATTCAGCTACTATAAGCCTCTATGTTTAAAAATTACCAGATTAACATCATTAGACTCACCCTTTAGGGTCTGACTGATTTTAAAGTTGATAACATATTCAGACCAATGCTCTTTAACATCACTGAACTTTATAAGGGCCAACTGATGAGGTTTAGTGATGGCAACAGTTTGTGGTGTTCGCTCTTCTCTACATTGCTGAGACCTCACATGCATTTGCAGTCTAGGTCCTGGTGACAATCCCATGTACAGGACCCGTGCAGAGCAGCCACTGAATAAGCACAAAGCTGAACTGAAGAGAAACCCCAAAAGTTGAGGACTATGGTATCAGGATTTCCAAATACAAAGGACATCTGTAAATTTAAGGAAATTTTTAGGCAGAAAGTATAAGAAGGTCATACTTGGTATGGCATACCACTCCTCTTAAACATTTGAGGTAAAACTGAAATGTATTTTTAAAGAGATTTAATTCCATAAGAACTAATTGTCTGGGCCTAGTGATTTGTTCTGAAGAGGTTTGCATCTTATTATAAATCTAAAGAGAGAGTAATTAATCCTTTTAAAAAATGGGGCCCCCAGGCTGGGTACGGTCACTCATGCCTGTAATCCCAGCACTTTGGGAGGCCGAGGTGGGTGGATCACTTAAGGTCAGGAGTTCAAGACCAGCCTGGCCAACATGGTGAAACCCTGTCTCTACTAAAGATACAAAAATTAGCTAGGTGTGGTGTACACACCTGTGATCCCAGCTACTCAGGAGACTGAGGCAGGAGGATCGCTTGATCTCAGGAGGTGAAGGTTACAGTGGGCCAGATTGTGCCACTGCATTCTAGCCTGGATGACAAATTGAGACTCATCTCAAAAAAAGGGACCCCACTTTGGGAGGCAAGCAGACCTGTGCAGTGAAGGCCTTTCCAACAGTTCCACTGCAGCGACAAGATACTCTGAAAGTCAAGTCATTCTGATTATGAGTTTCAGTTGCTTTCTCCGTGTCATTCTGAAATGCTTCTTCTTGAAAGTTTTCTCTTTTAGTGGTAAAATCTCTTTGCTCCAGAGTTTCTTCTATTTGTTTTCCCAGCTGGCAGTCCCTATTCTCTTCCATCTTTTGCATTTGTTCTATTTTTAATTTCTTGGCAATGATGATTTCATTTTCTCCCACTTTTCTTTTCATTTGGTTATCATCTCTCTGAGAAAGTTTTTCCTTTTTTGCATCAAGTTCAAGAAGATTTTTCCAAATTGAAATGGCATTCAACCAACTTCCTGGATCTTCATTTATAAGTCTTTGCATTTCATTAAATATTTTTCCTAAACAAAGAAAATCTTGTTGATCTTATACTGAAGCTTTAAAAACTATCCATTACATTCATCACTTCCAAATTCTATTACCTTTATTTCTTTGAATTAAGTTTTATTAAATTGCTATATGAATAACTTCACTTTCATTTGGAATTTACATTCCATTTACCATAAGAATATGTGCAGAATAAAGTTCATTCTTACGTTGCATAGATAGCATCCATATTGTGTTAAAATTCCTAAAGAATTACCATATAGTACTCTCGAAAGATTATTTGTGCTATGGTAATATATATATATATATATATATATATATCTTCAATATATATGTAGACCTAGAATGTATATCAATTTTTGCAATAATTATAATCTTGCCTATAAAAATTAAGTGTATATAAGAAAAGAATAAATTGAAAAACTCAGCTCAGAAACAGAGGAGCTGAATCTTGGGCCTGTTACATTTTAGCCCACATAATATTAGTAAGTATATTATAACGAGTTTCCACAGAGTTAACACTTTGGATGCACAACCCATTCATAGCTTAGCATACTGACATTACGCTCAGCAAAGTATAATCTTTTCTTGTAATCTTTTCTTGATGAACCAGGGTCATCAAGATGATCCAGAAATTATTACTATAGTCCTTAAAGATGAATGTGTGCAGAGTACTGGGAGAAATTATATTGACCCCGCAGTATAATACTTTGGGATTTGCTTTAAAACAATTTTTTCTGCATGGCCATTTGCATCTTTTAAAAATAGTTTATTATAGGCTATAACTACACGATCTCTTATGTAATTCAAATTGAAGTTTATGGCAGTGTTTAATCCTGCAGTGTCTGACCATTTTTTGCTGCTTTTATCAAGATCCATACATTGTTTTAGCAGCATATTTATAAAATTTAGAGTGGACAAATAATCTCTAATGCTCCCTTTACCTCTAATGCTTGATAAGTGGGCATAAGTTTATTGAAAACATTTAAGGTCCCAGAAATAGAAAAGCCAATTATATAACATAGTTAAAATTTACAAGGTGGTGATTTTCACTGATTTACTAGTAAAATAATGCATTTTGGATTATTACATCTTTCTAAATCGAAATAAGTGCAACTGACCATATATATCTCTAGAGAAGGTACCTGATCATAATTCTCAAAGAAGAAATGTGGCTTAAGACATTAAAATCTCATAAAAAAGGCAGCAGACAGGTTGCAAAGAGAATAAATATTCTACAATCAGGTGATAATATTCAGGAAATACAGAAAAATACATAATTAATGATCCCACATGTGCCAATGAATATTAAAGTGTAAAATGGCTACATATTAATTATCAAGCAGAAAAAATATTGGAGTACAATGTATCGTGTGGGTAAAAGAAACACGCATATGCATATACCATACCTTTACTTACAGAAGAAACAGTAAGTGGAAACTGCTTTTTAATCAACAAAAACAATCTTTCTGCAGATTTTAATTCCTTCAACATATTCAAATCAGAACAGGTGGTGAAAAAAACCTTTCCGGAAATATATTCAACCTAGAAATAGAAAAACAGCTTTTAATGTAGTCCAGCGTCAGTGTAAAAACCATTTTTTTCCCCTTAAGACATAGTATCTACATTAAAAATAAAAATGACCGTTTCTGAAGCATCTACTATTTGTCAGGCTCTGTACTAGGAACTCTGAATAAGTATTTTCCTTCTTATCCTTATAACAACCCTCTAAGGTAGATTCTAACACCACGAAAAGTAGGCAAAAGAAAGGTATAATGCACCGGACAAATTAGGTGTCTAGCCCAAGGTGGATATTTATTGAAGACCTACCTGTGGGCTACCAGGAATCATAAAACATATATCTTGAATAATAATAGACACACACTGACATACACATTAAAATGTAAGATTTATGAGACAATTAACTTGAATTAAACCCAGAAGAAAATGAAAAAGTTTTAACATTATAATGCATTGACAAGCTGTAAGTACAGTAACAATGAATATGAAAGCCGACATTACAGAGTCCTGGGAAAGAATCCTGTAAGATTTGCGAAGAAGGATTCTAACAAAAGAACAAGGGGCAGATGCAGAAGTGGGAGTGAAAACCTGGCTGAAGTAAACTTTAAGTCAGCTTAGCAACATTTGCTGTATTACGCTGATTGATAGTGTCAGGTGGATGGATGATGTAGTACAGGCCAGCCTGACAAATGGTCATGAAATTCTGAGTACCACTGACGGTAATGGTCAACCTTTATAGACTTTTGATGAAAACTGTGACAGCACTGAATTAGCTGGCAGGAAAAATTACTTCAGAAGAGGCATAAAGGACTGTGTGTAGAATGTGATGCTAGAGGGAGAAGTAGGTTACTGAGGGAGAGATGATGAGATACTTGGCTGCAGAAACTGGATAATGAATAGAAGCAAGACACATGCATCAAACAGAAACAGGTTTTGGAGACGGGATGGATACGTGGCAAAAGAGAAGGAAAAAGATAAGAGCACTGACTCATAGGAAGCTTAATGTGCTGTGGCAAATGGTGCCCCATGCCAATGGAATCTTAAGTCTTTTAGGGTTAACCCAACCCTGTTATATCCAGGATGGATGTGGGCTCTCTTGGAGTTAGTTCTCTTTTAGCAGTGGCCAACAATTGAAAAATGCCGTTTTAAATTATCTCCTGGAACTTGGACACCAGGAAATTTGGGGCTTCCTATGTCTTAAGGCAGCTACTATCCATGGGTACTTGCACCCCAAGGGTGTTTGCTTGTTTTGGATCTGACATGATCTCATTAAGTTCTTGGAATGTTAATTTCTGGGGTTGCTACTCCAGGCTGATGAAAGAGAATCTCTTCTGAGGAAGCCCTAGATTGGTACCAATTAAAACTCAAATAGCACACAGCAATGCAGCTGACCAAAATAGATGGAGGAACAGATGATGACATTATGAGAGGAAGCAGGGAATGAAAAGAACGTTTAGGAATCAATATTTAAGGGGATAGTGAAGTTACCAAAACCAGAACTTCTGGTTTCTAGAATTTACTTCTTTCTTATTACCTAGGTGACATTTTCCCAAAACTAAAGTATATACTTCAAAATGCTTAGAAACTTGAAAACAAAGTTCTAATGTAAATTCTCAAAAATTTAGATTTTAATATTATCTAAGAATGCAGTTGATACTAAAGCCATCACAGAACAATTTAACAGATAAAATACTTTGCCAAGATTCTGGAGGAACTGAACCGAATATTTTACTGAAAATGTATGGTTTTAAGTTTCAAATTCTGTAAATAAGTAAAATGATGCAAACATCTAGACCAGTAACTTTAACCTAAGTAGCCAGTGATCTAGACATTAATTTATAGTAACTTAATTGTACAATGATCTTTTCTTATTCAAATATCAAGGGAAGCATTTTATCCAATGAACTTTCTCTAACACACGCACACATACACACATATATATACATTTATATTATATATATAATATAAATATTTATATAATATAATATAAATATATATAATATAAAATAAATATATAATATAATATAAATGTATATTATAAATATAATATACATATAAATAGTATGTTATAAATATAATATAAATATATAAATATATTTATATTATATTTAATATAAAATAGAATATATTTAAATATATATATTCCCCCCACAGGTCAAGTGGTTTCCAAAAATAACACGACTATCAAGTTAATTAAGAGGACCTAAAAAGTTCATTTAGAGCATCTAATCTTAAGAATAGTGTATGTTGGTGCAACAAAATGCCAAATACATTCTCTAAACCCAAACCAGCAACATTATTTTAAGAATTATACATTCTCCAAACCAAAAGCAACAACATTATTCTAAGAATTATCATAAGGCCTACATTTCTTTTAGAAGTAATAAGCATGTAATCAGAAGTAGGGCAGGTCCTTAAATAACACTGTTTTATTCAATGTCCTTTCATTATGACACTGATAAGAAAAAATTCCAATTCCCAGCCAGGGCTACTGTCTGGGTGAGCCATGTCTGCATGGGTTTTCTCTGGGAACCCCAGTTTCCTCTGACATCCCAGAGTGTGCCTGTTAGGTCCACTGGTATGTTCACATGGTCCCAGTGCAAGTAAATGTGGATGTGTGTGACTGTCCGGGTAATGGGATGGCGTCCTATGCAGGGGCTGATTCCCACCTTGTGCCCTGAGCTGCCAGGATAGGCTCTGGCCAGGGACAACCCTGGAATAACTGAACTTGAATAACTGGATTAATAATCATCTTGTTTTTATCAAACTTTCTTAGATGTATGTATAGTTTTACATTTATTTCAATGTTTAATATTACAAGTACTATTTCAGCGTTTACTATTAGAAGTGTTCTAAATAACCTCTTAATTTAGAAGTTTGTGAAATTTTTGTGACCGGAAAAATGCTGTAGGAACTCTTGTTTAAAGAGTTTTGCTTTAAGTCAGTTTCTAGGAACCTACTGATGACATTAAATGAGGACTTACTGCAGTTTATTAAACTGTAAAAGAGTAGTCACTGTGGGAATCAAATAATCCTATCTGTGAACTCACTTAAACAGGTCACTCACTGTGAAGACAGGTATTATATCTTAAAACAGCAGGGAGAATGAATTTGGTGCCTATGATTTAAAAAATTGCTGCAGCTAGTAATTCTCTTTTTCTTCAGTTTATTGCTTAAAACTAACTGTTCATATTTAATTACAACACTGAGGGAGAAATGTGGCATTTTGGGATATTTCATTCTCATGTTTCTTATCTGAAAATTTATTTGTACAATCTGGTTTTTCTAGCTGGAATTAAATACGGAAGTGTCTAAAAACAGCTGGTTTTATGTCTAATACGAAGATGAAATAAGTCTTTATTAAAGTAATAACAGCTCTATTACCTGGTAGAATAATGTTTTTCTTTCTTTTAAAATTCATGGATTCAAATTTAACACAAAGATTAAAAGTTTAAATCTAGGCTGAATGTGGCTGTGCTTCCCAAAGTACTGGAATTCTAGGTGTGAGCTATCACATTCAGCCTAGATGTAAAGTGGGAGGACTGCTTGATCCCCGGAGTTTGAGACCAGCCTGGACAACATAGTGAGACCCTGTCTGTACAAAAAATAAGTGAGCTGGGCATGGTGGTGTGTGCCTATAGTCCAGGAGGCTACTTGGGAGAAGATAAGGCGGGAGGATTGCTTGAGCTGGGGAAATCGAGGTTGCAGTGATCTGTGATTATGCTGCTGTACTCTAGCCTGAGTGATAGAGCCTGAGCCTATCACAGTTAAAAAAAAAAAAAAAAAAAGTTTAAATCTATGCAAAAACATATGATATAGGGAGGTGCCAAAGGTCTCCTAATTCTACAGATGCCATTAAGTTTCAGAACTAATTTGAAAATGCTAAGTGATGAGTTAAGGTGGTGTTTCAGTTTGTTTTGGTTTATTTTAGAAGGAATTCGAAAATACATTTCACTTAATTTGTGAAAAGGACATTTGGTTGGGTGCGGTGGCTCATGCCTGTAATCCCAGCATTTTGGGAGGCCAAGGCAGGCAGATCACTTGAGGTCAGGAGCTCAAGGCCCGCCAGGCCAATATGGTGAAACCCCGTCTCTACTAAAGATACAAAAATTAGCTGGGCACCTATAATCCTAGCTACTTGGGAGGTGGAGGCAGGAGAATCACTTGAATCCAGGAGGCGGAAGCTGCAGTGAGCCAAAATGAGGCACTCCAGAAGAAAGGGGCATTCAATCTAAAGGGAATGCAGAGAATCTTTAAGGCAACCTTGTGTAATTATTCCATTCAACAAAAGTAACTATGAAGTAATTTGACTTTCTGCTTAACTCTACCTCACTACCCTCGACCATCATGACACCATTAAAAAACAAAAATTTATGTGGCCTATTCAGGACCTGTGTTAATAGTGTTTGATATGAGAGTTTATAAAGACCATTGAGTCAACTGACAGGACTTTTCTGGTGAACTGACATTAGAGACATTTCTACAACATTCAATTTTATCTTAAAATAACTGTTCCGACTATTAGTCTTAAAATAAATAGCAGTACTTAATATATTAAACATCATTATAAAGTAAAGCTTAATTTTTCTCAATATATTATTCAAAGTAGTCTAAGTGATATATGTGTTTGTAGATATATAATTTAGATATTTAACAATATACAGGAACTTAACGAAGAAAACATCAAATCCGAATATGACCAAACTCTAGACACAACTTACAGGATTCCAACTTACAGGAAATACAGAGGATAGAGGAACATGCTAAATTACACCATGGAAACTCAGCATACTACATACTATACATATCCTTTTTTTTTTTTTTTGAGCCAGAGTCTCGCTCTGTCGTCCAGGTTGGAGTGCGGCAGCGCAATCTTGGCTCACTGCAACCTCCACCTCCCGAGTTCAAGCAATTCTCCTGCCTCAGCCTCCCAAGTAGACTACAGGTATGTGCCACCATGCCGGGCTAACTTTTTGTATTTTTAGTAGAGACAGGGTTTCACCATGTTGGCCAGGCTGGTCTCGAACTCCTGACCTCAAGTAATCTGCCCGCCTTGACCTCCCAAAGTGCTGGGATTACAGGTGTGAGCCACAGAGCCTGGCTGGATTCAGCATAGTATTTTGTTTACTTTTGTATATTTTTGAAATTCTCCATGATAAAAAGCTAAAAAGAATACACAGAAAATTTTCCATTGCAAGCTGTGTGTTGGAGTCATCTGGGAGGGGAGCATGTTTTCATGTTAAAATGGTAGCAACTGCGCTTATCAGTTGCCCTACTAAAAGAAAACCTTTTGGGGTTGGCACCCAGAAATACTCATTTTCAGCAAGCTTCCCCAGTGATTCTTATGTTCATGAAAATGGAAAAAATGCTGATTAAAATGGAGTGATTACTTTCTTAAACCATTCTTGAATTAATCTGTTTTGTACATTTAGATTTAAGAATATTAATTTCCTTGATGTGATCCTAAGTTTCTAACACTCTCTTGTCCTTGAAAGATGTTTTAAGTATTTCTGTACAACTAATTGTATGGGAACTAAAGTTTATTGAACACCAACTATTTGCTAGGCACCATGCTACCAGTGCTGTCTATCCTTATTTCAGGGATTGCATTAATCCTTTTAAGTAGCTATCATCATCTCTATTTTACATTCAAGAAAACTGAAGTGCAGAAATTTGAGTAATTTGCCAAGTTACAAATCTACTAAAATAAGATATGAGATCTACACATAGGTCTTTGGTTCTAAAGCCCATACATACTCTACCACGGTGTTACAGAAATAAACTCCATCCAATGTTCCAGGGCAGATTCCCACGGTAATTTAGCTTAGTGATAAAGCACATGGGCTTTAAAGCTAGAGAGGCTCAGATACAAGTCCCAATTTTCTTTTTGTAAAATGGAGGTAAAAGTGACCTATCACATAGGAGTCTTTTGAGGATTAAATCATAACATGCACACAACTTGTCTAACATTTAAGTGGCTAATAAATGTTAGTTGTCATCACTGTTACTTCAGGATTAACTTTGAGAGTTCACTTGGTATGAGAGCCACTGGGGTGGAATTTCAGAGATTATTTGTTCAGACCCCATATCCAGACCTATCTATCCTTAAAACATACAAGAGCAGAATATGGAAATGCCCAAATCTACTGGCATTTAATTACTCTCACTGTCAAAAAGTTTTCCCTTATTTAATTGAATTTTCTTCCTGGTAATAAAGTTTCCCCATCTGTAGAAAAGATGGAGAACAAGCAGAGAAAGTCTTTCCTTTTTCTAATAATCCTACATATTCAATTGGGCGAAACCGTCTATCTCTCATACTAAGCACTCTAAGTCAACATTTTAAAAAACAAGCCAGTGCAGCATTATGTCATGGTCATATAGTGGCCTGGTTTGAACGCGATTATATACTCGTGCTTGAATTCACAGCTTGGGTTTCAATCCCATCTTTGCCATTTTCTAGTTGCATAACTTGAATAAATTCTTGGACTTCGTGCTTCATTTTCCTCATCTGTTAAATGTGGAACATCTACCCTATAGGGCTGTTGTGAAAAGTACGCAAATAAATATAGTGTAAGGATCTAAGAACGTGTGCCTGAAACATATTAAATGTTTAATAAATGTCAGCAATTATTATGTATTGTTGCTTTTTTAGATTAGCTACATTCAATACTCTATTAAATTCGATGACCCAAAACACAAGTGGCAGGTAGTCTAATAAAGCTAACCTAATTCTTCATGACCCCAACCCTTCACTGCCGAAATTCCTTTTGTGGGCTTCCCATACTGTAAGAGCTGCCAGTGTGGAGGGGTTAATTTCATTTAGCAAGCTCTCCTTTTCCAAGAGCACATCACTCACTGTCACATATACCCCATCAAGATACCTTTTCTATTATATCTCCACCCTCTACTTTCAAGAAACCAGCTTTCAACGTTCTAAAACCTAAACCCATGCTTAAAACCTTGTTCATTTCATGGAAATCAACAACAGATAACTATGAGGCACGCAAGAGTACATTATTTTTCTGGCTACTATTTACTGCGTGTTTAAAGTGTACTTTGCATACGCCGTTATCATTTAATCCTCACAAGAATCCTATGAAGTAAAATACAATCACCGTCAAGAAACTAAGAAAAAATCAGGTATGAACTTGGAGCCTGACGCCTGCATTTAAAGAGCGAAGGGTTCTAACTCTGACAGGCCCGATCCTAACTACAGGCAGAACTAAGTACTTTAAATAATCCAGGAAATAACTTGTCTCAACACCTCTCTTTCAAAAACGAGCCCAGAGGGAGGTGAGCGACTGGGTTTGCAACGCAGAGAAAGGAAGGCGTGGCGGCTACTCTCAGTGGCGGAAGCGCCTGCCAATCAACCTCGGGGGCGGCGCCGTCGCTGTCCCGCGTTCGCGAAGTTGGCTTTGCAAGGGAAACGGGGCAGGGACGGGGCCGCCTACCCTCCCGGGCGCGAGCCAAGGCCGACTCACCTGCGTGGCCGCCAGCCGCGCCCTCACCTCCCGCATCAGGAACGGCTCCAGGCCGCGGCCCGCGGTGCAGAAGAACCGGGCGGCGGCCTCAGGCCCGGACCGCGGCTCCCCGGGCGCCACCGACATGGCTGCTCGGGCGCGCCCCCGCTGCTTTGGGTCACGTGGCCTCGGGCGCGCGCGGCTCGCTCCCGCGCTCTCGGAGGCGGCGCGCAGGGTCGGCTGGTGCCATAGGCGATCGGGGAAGTAGAGTCTCCTCAGCCAGCTGTGGCCCCTGTGGGTCTCCCTGGTTGGCCAGCTGACCCCTCCTTGGTTAGGCACCAGAATGGTTTAGAATCACGAGTGGAAGGGCTGGAATCGGTAATTCAGTCCAGTTGCCGTATTCTGCAGACTGAGGAAATTAATGCCCAGAGAGGTCAAGAGATAGTGAGTTAGCAGCACAGCTGAGGCTGGAGCCTGGGTTTCTCCCTACCTGACATAATGCCTTTTCCTCCATTCCTCCCAACTCCCTCCTCTCCTGTCCTTCATTCCTCTCCTCTCCTCTTCTCTTAGAAGGAGCCCTGCTCTGTTTTCACCAAGAATCAGGCCAAACCTGTGAATCTCTAGGACCGAAAGCAGAAGTTTCTGTTTCTAGCAAATGTCTGCGTTCTGAAGCAGCTCAAATTTCGTGCACTACTTCGTTAACCATCCAACCATAGATGAATGCGTGTGCCATCTCGTTTTGGGCATCTGATTTGAATAGTTCTCCTAACAATATTTGAAGGCATTTTTCTAAACTCTGAATTTTAAAATGAAAATATTACTTGGGAAGCATAGACAGAATCCACGTTACAAGATAAACAGCATGAAATTAGCTCCGTAGCTGTGTATTGAATCAGTTATACATAAATTATAAATGCATGTATGTCTCTGACAAGGGGCTCTCACGTGCTTCGCAGTGGGATGCTGAGGGAATAACGGATACTCCCTCACCTTTCCCCACATTCCCACACCCTCCCATCCCAGCTCATGCTATCCTGGGACCGTACAGTAAAAATTCTTCATGGGGCAGGGCACAGTGGTTCATGTCCTTAATCCCAGTACTTCAGGAGGCCAGGGTCCGTGGATCACGAGGTCAGGAGTTCAAGACCAAGGTAGTAAAACCCTGTCTCTACTAAAAATACAAAAATTAGCCAGGCGAGGTGGCGGACACCTGTAATCCCAGCTACTCGGGAGGCTGAGGCAGATAATTGCTTGAACCTGGGAGGGAGAGATTGCAGTGAGCGGCGATCACACTACTGCACTCCAGCCTTGGCTACAGAGCGAGACTCCATCTAAAAAAGACAATAAAACTTCGTCAGGTAACAACAGCTTTTCCAAAGTTCAGTCCTAAGACTTCCCAGACACTTCCTTTTATTTTTTGAGACAGGGCCTCCCTCTGTCACCCAGGCTGGAGTGCCGTGACGCAATCTTGGCTCACTGCACCTTCCACCTCCCGAGCTCCAGCGATCCTCCCACCTCAGTCTCTCAAGTAGCTGGGACCACAGGCGAGCACCACCACACTGAGCTAACTTTTGTATTTTTTGTAGAGACTGGGTTTCACCATATTGCCCAGGCCGATCTTGAACTCTTGAGCTCAAGCAAACCACCCGCCCCAGCCTCCCAAAGTGCTGGGATTACAGGCACCCGGCCCTCACGCAGTCCCGTTTTGATGAATTCTTTTCTTGCCTTCAGACATATGTTCTCCTTTTCTGGGCTATTGCCATAGCTCATTCCAACTTCTCTATACTTTGGGGTTCTGACTGTCAAGCCTGTCTGGGGAGGACAGGAACCCTATTTAGTTCTCCCTTAAATTCTGTGCCCAAGATGTTAAATATGCAGATGGGATGCATTCCATTCAGTTCAACAAATACTGAACACCTACTCTCTGCCAGTCACCACCCTGTCTTGAGGATTCAAAGATGAGTAAGCAAGGGTTTGGATTTCAAGGGCTTAGAGGATGTGAAATTGACCGACTTACTGAGGATATACCTGGGAAGACATGACAGCATTGACAAAGAAGAGGCAGAGAGGGCTCCCAGGGCAAAATCACTCTTGAGTCCAGCGTTGAAGGATGCATAAGTGGGAGAAGCAGCAGATGAAAATATCTGATATGGCGTGTCGGGGGTGGGGGACAGGGAGACCATAGTAGAGATTAGGTGTTATTAGAGCATAAAGTATATGAGTGGAGTAGATAGAGATGCAGGTAGAGCGGTGGGTAGGGGCCAGGTTAAGTCTTTACGATCAAAGGCAGCTGAAAACAAAAAACAAAAAATTATTCAGCCTAGCACAGACCAGCAGTGTGCTCGCCTGGAGGATACCACAGCTGAGCTGAGGCTTCAGTCTTGCAGAGCCAATCAATCTTCCCCTTACATTCCCCTCTTCCTTCTGATGTCTTTTCCCCTCCAGCAGTGTTTGGTCAGCAAGATCAGGGGCTACTCTTTTTTCAGGTGTGGGCGTCATGTGCATTTAATCCTTTTGAAGTGTGCTGCAGCACGTCAACTGCACCAGTCTTCACAATATGCCTGCAATGAGATGGAATAGGGGGAGTTCTGCCTTTTTACGGAGAAATTAATTCGTTTTCTGGTAAGAGAGTTGCCTGGAATTCTCTTCCCCATTACTCAAATACTCTTTTCTCCATCATTTCTTCTCATTTAAAAAAAGTCTCTTCTGAAAACTATGGATCCCTGTAGACAAATTTAGCACATCCAGCTGCAATTTGCTGTTTGAATATTACATATTTCAACATGTAGGGAATTGGAAGTCGACAGGAACAATTTTAGAATGGACAGACTTTCCAGTGAGGGTGTTTTAAGAATTTAGGGCAAGGCTATTTGCTTCCAGATAGCTCCCTATTTTGGTGCCGTTGACAATTCTTTTAGTTCTTAAAGGTGTGTGATGTATATACTTACATATTAAAATGCAGGTGCTATAGATTGTGAGGTCCTTGAGGGTGGGATGACTTCATCTGGGCATCTGTAGCTTGCACACTGGCTTGCCTGTGGAGGCCTGTCAAATGTATACACACAAAAAGAACTAAATGGAAGGCCAACAAAGGAGGTCCCTCTCGGGAGGACTGCTGTAACTGCCCTATCAGCAGGCGCCTTTGTGAGCAGGATGCAGGAATAAGGGCAAGGTAGTGAGGCCAATGAAGGAGAGAAGTGAGGGCGTGAAGGGGGTAGGAGGACCCCCAAAATCAACTTCTTCATGCCTTTGCTTGCTCCTTCCTCTCTTCCTTTTTATATCCTCTATCCTCTGTATACACTTTATAAATAATGTTTCTTACCCAGGAATACTCCTCAGAATTACCTGGGAAGTCATCAGTGTCAAGCTTGCCACCCCACTCTCCTGTATTCCTGTACGGTTGAGTAGGGTTGATGACAAGGCTTGGCCTTTTCTCCCCATGAGATGAAGAACCATTGCTATATGCCAAGTTCAAGTGCTGACTTCTTCAAAATGCCCACTACTTCCCTTCTCTCCGGCCTTTGCTGACACGGTTCCCTTTGGCTAGAGTACTCTTGTCTTCCCTTGTTTCTTTTTCTTTGAGGCTAAGCTGGAATGCCACATCCTCTCAGGTGCACTTCCCTGCCTTTCTTGCACCCTTTTACTTATGCAGTATTTTATGCCTTTATCATTCATTTATTCGTCCACAAATATTTGTGGAGTTTGTGTCAGACGTGCCCGTTAAATGTTCCAGCCTTTGGGAAATTTTCAAATCAATGGGAGACAATGGTGACAGGGCTGAATTGCTGAGACAGGCATATAAAGGATGACAATAAAGTGTCATGTATGGAAATAAAAGGAAAGCGACTGGGCCTGCCGATGGTAGCTGCTTAATCAGTGAAGTTGAATAAATGAGCTTATTGTGAAGCTGAGTAAGTCTTTGTCCTGCTTTTGGTTTCTTATCTCCCCCTGAGCACCATATTAGTCCATTCTTGCACTGCTGTAAAGAAATACCTGAGACTGGGTAAGTTATAATGAAAAGAGGTTTCATCGGCCCACTGTTCGGCAGGCTCAACAGGAAGCATAGCTGTGGAGGCCTCAGGAAACTTACATTCATGGGGGAAGGGAAAGCAGGCTCCTCTTAGATGGCTGGAGGAGGAGGAAGAGAGGGAATGGGGAGGTGCTGCACACTTTTAAGTAAGCAGATCTCTTGAGATCTCACTCACTACCATGAGAATAGCAATGGGGAAATCCATCCCCATTATCCAGTTATCTACCACCAGGCTCCTCTTCCAACATCGGGGATTACAATTTGGCATGAGATTTGGGTGGAGACATGAATCCAAACCATCTCTCTGCCAAGTCTGGGGCATCATCCTTCTGATGAGGCCCACCCACCTCCTGCAGATAGATCCTCTTTGCTAACCAGGTCATAGTCATGTGATCTAGACATTACCAATGAGCCTCACATGACTCAAATGAGCAATGTGGGGGAAAAGGCTGTTTCCACAATTTATTTTACTTCTCTGGGGTACTGTTGGGGCATCTGACTTTTAGGAACAACCTCCTGAACAGGATTGAGTTCTTGAGGCAGAAGTACTGCTGGGGGCAGTGGTAGTAGGAGCAGCAGTTAGTTTTCTGGTCAGGCCAGCTTCTGAAAGCTTAGCTTCCAGATTGGTTTTCCAAACTGTTCAACAAATGAGACACACATGCATGCATGCACGCGTGCACACACACTTTGCTTAATCAGTTTAAGTTAGTGTCTATTTCTTGCAACAAGAAATCTCGATTGATACAGGCACCCACTCTTCCTAGGTAGGAGTATCTAACTTGGTTTGCTTCTCTCCCTGTGGTTTGAGCCTAGTCTCTTCTCCCATTCATTTATGAGCATTGCACTGTGGAGGTATGATGAACTCCTGCCTCACGGCCTCACAGAGTAACTTGGAAAGAGCAGGATTTTATGAAACTCAATTGTATTGTGGCATTGTGGTAAAACCACAGATACAGACACATGAATCTGTGAGAAGACACATTCCAACCAAGTCAGTACAGACTGTGAAAAAGAGAATCTACAGAGAATCTACGTATTTTTATGACTACAGATGCAGGCAATTTGGGAAAAACTCTCGGTCACATATTGATCCTTTAAGCCACTTAAATACACACAATAATCACCTTGAATGGAATCTACATATTTTTATGACT